AGAATCTCACTTATTAGACGGATTTCTACTCATCCATACTGTTTTAAATAACTCTCACGAAGTAAACGTTAAGACGACGAGTTTCATACCTTCAAACTAAAAATATGCATGTAGCGTTTTACTTAATAATAATAATAATACTGCTAAGTGTGTACTAACTATCACAGTGCTCATTCCCCTACACATATTTTCTGGGGTTGTTGATACTGTTAGCTTAGTTCTTCATCTGTAAGACATAGGTATGAATACTGCTATCGAATGTACAAGCAAAAAGGCGAGAATATGTATATATATAATACCTAGAATCAACTATATTCCAGGAACACATAACTGAGATTTGTCGCTGAACTGAACATTTGACTGTTTAAATGCATATTGAATGGTTTCACTTAATTTTTCTGAATAATCACTATTTATCCGATGATGGCTTCACACTTTAAAAATCAAGTTGGGTGGGTGACGAATAGATAGATAAATTTTATCTGAATAAAAAAAATAAATTTCCTACATTCAACAAAGATTTGTCCTAGGAGTTAACCAATAGTTTTCTTCTCTAATCACTGATTTATTGATTTATTGAAATAGTTCTAAGAATTACCCGAAGATCGATACAATTACTGAATGAAATGCCTAGTAGACAATTTCGTTTCTAAGGTCATTTAAATGCTTTTATGCCCGTTAACTAACATTTTCGCAACTCCTATGTCAAGTAGGGAAACAAAGTGACATTTTGTTAATTAACAAACTGAATATGAAAAAAAATAAAACAAGACTTTTAAGAAGAAAGAAGAGAAAGTTTTTTATCGACTGATCGATAACTCCTGACAAATAATTCAGTGTATTGTTATGTGTTGGCGTCAGCTGGCTGCTTTAATGTGCAGTTTCATAGGGAGACGAAAAGAATTGTAAACCTTGTATGTGATACTTTGAATAGAAATATGAATAAAAGTAGAGCTATGCAAAAAGCTTTGAAACGCTGTTTCGTGCGTTGTGTTGGCCGTGAAGAAGATTGACTGAAAAAGTAATTACTGTTCAACTGTTCATTTTATTTTCAGACCTGAACGATACTTAAAACAACTCGTGAGATACAGAGTATTGGGGTAGATAGTGAGCCGAATATTACAAATCTTGGATTCAGTCTTTTCCTCAGAACTTTCTCATTCATCCTACGTCCTGGGGCAAAATATTTCATCTAACCTCCTACATAAGAAGGAAAAGACACTCTGAGATAACTCATCTTCCACTTTCACAGTTTTTGTTTTGGTCTGTTGCATTTCGCTTCTTTTTTCTATTACTTCCAGTTATTATCTCCCAGACTGCTTGAAGAAAACTTGATTACACGGCGTGGTTTTAAAACAAACTTATTGACACCATCATTGGAAGACATTTACACTCACATGCAAAACTTTCAGCATTCTGTCTATTCACAACTTTTACCTTACACCACCTCAGATAAGATAAGACTTTTCACTTATTTGGCACGCATTGTACATGCAGAAAATTGTGTTTTGTAAGAAATTACGAAGTTACTCAGTAATGGTAAGTAAATAATAGTTTCCATTCTTCCGTAATTATTACTAAATTACAATCGACAGATGATGAATTAGAGGTCAATAGTAATGCGATTGGCTGGAATTCGAAGATAACTTATTGATTTCACCCTTTTCACGCTACTAAGGGTGTTTTGGGTGTGATCATCGTGACAAAGTGCACAGATTTCTTAACGTGATAACTGTTCACCCTCTTTGTCATCTTTATAATTTTTAGGGTTATAACTTTCATTGTAGGCGTGTCCCCTGAAAATGCTCAGCTGACTGCTAACCACCATGGTTGATGGTGGAAGGCTAACACAAGACGATGGAGTCTTCTATTTATGAACACTTTCTTGCCTCAGGACATTCACTCTCACGTGATTTATCCCTTTAAGTTTTCTATAGGTGTGAAATTAATCACCATTCAGAAGACTGACCACACCGCTAAGTAGATCTCTAATTATCTTACGGTATGTGTGCGCCACACATTAAATAGTTCGTAGTTTCACTGAATGCCTCAGGACCAGCAAGCAGTAGGCTGACATTCCTTGGCAGTTTCATTGTCTTATATACTATGCACCAATTACAACATTAGGGATTCTAATGGCAGGAGTGTTTATCACTCAACCATTAGGTTGGATGAGATCTGATGAAACATAACTTCTTTCCATTTATAAAATATCCCTTCTCATATAAAACTAATAAAATCTACCGGACAACCTTGCACTGTTGAGGAGTATATCAGCCTTCGGATCATAGTCACTTGACCGCTGCATATGGAGCGGGACTTGACAAAGGTCGGAATCCCTGAAATATTGGATCCTGACATAGTACCCTAACAGTCGATAGTATCGCCTTACAATCACAAAAATCACGGATTGAACCCCTGGAAAAATTGATTATTGGCAGACAGTATTGGATAAAATGTGAGTCTAATGCTGCTTGGGTTTTTTTCTGTGAACAGATTAGCTCTCTGAAACAAACTAGTGTGAACCAGAAATGCCGAAATAAGCCATTCAGTTAACTTTTCAAATAATAATTAATCCCTTTTTTGGCGCATTGCACATAAAAGGATCACATGGTATGTAATTACAAAAAATCTCGGTTAAATAGTGAAGAACAGTATTATAATAATAATAATATTAATGATAATGTAGAAAAGCAGACAGAAAAGAATAATACAGAAAATCAGAAAATCCTTCCTTCTCTTATAAGCCATTAATTATGATTACTATTCAACCGTTTATTTTTCTATTCAACGTAATTTCTTTCTTGCATGAAAGAAAAGAAGAGGAAAATGTTCTATTAACATGCTCTATGCACGCTGTGCATCATTAGACTACAGAGTTTCATCTCTGTCTCTCTGTCTACATATATATATATATCCTTTTCATTGCGGATTAAACTCAGTTGGATAACCATTTGGAAATCTAAAATTACTCAGTAGGCATTCATTTCTTTCATCACACCTTAATAACCTTTCTATATTACTGCATAAAAAACATTCTTAAATGTGACTTAGTCCGATGTGTATAGTATGGAATAACCAGTTCAACTAATTACATACAGATGCGGTTATGATAATTCAGAAAGTATTGATTGATTGTTAGGTAGCAGTTTCATTGGCTATGCGTTAAAGGGAACTATCCGTTTGCAGGTTTATCAGTGATCATTTGTATGTATGCATGTAATTATCAATATTTGGCTATATTCTAGGCATTGTGTATAGGTTAAGCGTTCAAGGCTAACATGGAGAAGATCATGTGAAGACGAAACGAACGAACTTGGTGAGTTATGAAGCCTGCTGCAAGTGAGGTGGAAAGCCAACTGAAATGAATAATGGTTAATATAAACAATTCTTCAGTGTAGTGTGATTTTATACACTTGAAAGATAAGGGTGAATTTGGTTGTTTTAATGAATTCAAGAAAAAGTTGATCTAGTGGTTAAATCCGGACAGTCTGTGCTTAAGTTGAACACTCATACATTAAACCTCACATCTACCAGTACTACTACTACTACTACTGACACTCAGAGCAGGCGATTATCGGTCTAAGCTCTATGCTAGCAACTGCTGCCTGCGATTCCGCACCTTCTACAGAGGTTCGAGCAGACAGCTGGTATCAATAACCCTTATACTTTTTGTGTATGTGTGACCTATCGCAAACTTTCCCTCTGTGAACTAACTCTTGATCATCAGGTTTCCTGTGGCTTATTGTTTTCTTCCTCTTACATGCTTACATATTTATTATCCGATGGTATTGTTAGATTACTTATCATCCTAACGTTTCGATTTTGACTAGGGAAGTAGGAATAATTATGGTAGGCATTTTTCTTCCTTCTGAAGCTTAGAGTAAACCAAACAGTTTTTGTATTTGAATATATATGTTTTGCCTAAATAATGAAGATACTATTATCGCCTAGAAGAAGGAAAGAGAGAGACAGAGAACTAGAGAACGATGTTATTATTAACTTTAATCACTGTAGGTGGTGATTAAAGTGGAGAAGTCAGACAACTGTGATAGATTATACAAACGTGACAAAAAGGGATTAGTGTTCAAGTGACCATAATAAAATGGCAAGAAAAACAGGTGAAAGACTACAAATACTTTAACCGTTAATTTAATGAAAAAAGAATAGAATGTTTAAACGCAATCAAAGCTTTCATATAGTCTTTTTAACAGCGTATAAGATAGTTTTTTTTACATTGATCCGTCACTGGCACCATCTCTCCACCTCTTAATAGTGATGATTCTGTGATAACTTCTGTGACCCCAGACTCTGTGCTGGGCTGGGGGTTGTTAGCCTCACTCCCAACATTCCATTCTTTACAAGGCTTACTACCGGCTAGGCGAGGCCTAGGAGTGAGTCGATTGGGAATTGAACCCAGAGCAGGTGAGTAGTTGGTTAGGATTCTACTGCTAAATTGCCGACGCGCATTATCTACTCAAAGACTGCTGACTGCCGATCAACATTGGTAAATGTTTTTGATTTTCTGTCTTAAATCTCTTACTGATTGCAATACCATAAAATTATAGATGAAGAAAAAACAAGCTGAAAATGTTGTATGTGAAGCTTTTGGTATTCAATAAACCAGGTAAACACTTTCATTAGTTGTACAGCAACACGATGATTCATATAAAACACGCTATTTTATGCTTTTGATTTTATTCAAACCGGTTTATTTATTAAGGTGAACCTAATCAAGGAGCAAAAGAGAGAGTACTATGCTGCCTATACTTGAATATTCTTTTTATAACAATCAAATGATAAAGCAGGTTTAAATTTTAAAGCCACTCTTTCCACAACCTTTTCAGTGGTTCGGAAGAAGACAATCAATAAGATCCTATGTATACTAAACGTTAAATATTACAGAAATAAAATATAATCCTTACAATCTGTACGTAGAACAAAGTACAACAAAGAAGGTGGAATAAGAGGAAATATATTGGCATAAAAGTGACACTTACTTTATCGATTTTCTTTTTAAAGTAATCCTTGGGTTTACTTTTACACCGCGGACTAGTTTCCAATGTATACGGTATAGTTAGTAAACCGATCGATTTATCTGATAAATCAATACCAAGAGTAGCTGCAGCTTTAGCACTAATCACTGTAGTGGTAGTCGGTGATGAAGATATAGGCTTTGAAGTACCCGTGGGATCATTTATTGGGGAAAATGAGGTTACTACTGCTGTTTTATTGTCTGTAGAACTGGAAGATCTATTTATATCGGTATCACTTTTAATCAGCACTGTAGACTGACTTCCGACTTCTTCGTCAGTTAGTTGACAATCAGGTAGATTTAAATTTCCACTAGTTGACTGTGCCATTTGTTGCGCTTTTTCTACTTGAACTAAATTGCGTGCAGTTTGTACTAGTCTAGCGACACTTGAGTCAGAACTCGAACTGACGCTGTCATCATCGTCATCATCATCTTCATCAACATCATCGTTGTCTTCGTCAGGGGACTCCCGAAAGTCCTCTTCATCCTCATCATCTCCACCGTCATCGACGTCATTATCGTCATCTGTTTCATCATTGCTTACATTGAATACACGCCTATCTCTGGCTCCTGCAACTGAAAGATTCATCCGTTCATTCACTTCTTTATCAATACTTTCATCAATAATTATCTGACACTGTGTGTTATCAACCCCAGACGATTCATCCCCTTGTGCACTTCTGTTGTTTGTACCGGATAGTGATTCTTTTTGGTTTGATTTTTCAGCCATAAAAAAAGAAAATAAGAATTCCCGGTGACTTGTGTATGCTTCTGTTTTTTATGTGTTTGTGATCTTCTCTCTGTTTAAAAGCATATACACGCAGGGAAGTCAATAAGGGATACTTAGGACATTACAATTTTACGGAGTTTCTTATCAAGGAAATTATAATCCATAGTTTCATTTAATGTATATAGAGTGGGTGATAAAATAAATAAATAAATAAAGTAAACAGCTATTTTACTTCGTATCAGTATTAGTAAAACTTATTTTATAGGAAAATGATCTAAAAGACACAAAGAGAGAGAGACGGATAGTGAGTGAACTTTATTTGTCATGAAATACAACTCTGTAGTTCAACAATGAATTTGATTGGTGCATATGCAACCAACCAATGAGACGCCAGAAAAGCATCAGCTGTTAGGATATCTAGACAATCAAAAAATGCCAACAAAAAACAGAATATTGAAAAAAGTGTTTTCTGCCCTTTATAAAAGTAAAGTAGGATGGTATATACCTAAATTAATTTACGAGAGAAAAAAACAGAAAAGAAACACTAGATTGTTGCACGCTTTCATTTTAGACATTATTATTTCATAAAATGCTTTTTCCACTTTTTCACTTCACTTTACCTTTTTACCTTCCTGCCAATCATCAGAGTGGTGGGTAAACACGAAAGATTTCCAGGTTAATTTTCCTAATGAACAGAGGAAATAAAAAGAATGTGCATGCCTGTTAAACTATGCGACCTGTTAATATTGTAATGGCAGAGAATAAAGGAAGTGTATTCACATTAGGTGATGAGATTCACCTTAACACCTTTTCTTCGCCAATATTCTAATCTGCTGGATAGAGGATTATATATTTTTTGTATTGCTTATAAGAGTGAATATATATATATATGTTTCTGGAGATGACGTTTAGGAGGAGAGAGGGAAATTAATGGGGCACTCTAATTTTAAAAATTTGAAAATAGTGATGAAAAATGTACATTTTTATTTCTTTTACAATTGTCTGACTAATTGATGGTTGGATTTATTCAATAGACTTAAAATCACTTTTAGATTGAAATGAATTTATGTGAAAACAACTTTACAAATGTATTATTAATTTTAGTTTTTAGAAAAGAGATAAGGCATGAAAATCAGCGATAGTTTTTCTTTGTCTATAGCTTCTTATAAGTTGGATATTTATGAAATAAACACGTAATTTGGAAAATTGTTTAAGAGAAACTATTTGTAGCATATTTATCTGTTGTTGTAACTGTTCATGTAGGTGGTGCAGTAGTGTGGTTTATCAGTAGTATATAAGGATAACATAAAACATTAAATAGCAGGGAGATAGACTTGATATCAGAGAAGGCAAATGATACAGTGTTGTGGAGATGCATAGCATACGTGAAATGAACACAAACAGACAAAATATGAAGGTCAGAAGCAGCACAACACGATGTTCTGTGCAAGTGGTGTGTTGAAGTTAAGGTGTACATAATTTGGCTATATATAGATACCAATTTCCAAATAAACATTCCTTTACCGAATCTTCGTCTTTTACTGTTGCAGTATAAGTAATAAGTGTTTGTGAATACAGTGTTTTTTGGGAGAGTAGGTTGATAGTATTAAATTAGTATATCAACCGAAATAAGACACTAGTTCTCTCTCATACTTTAAAATAAAGAATTCTAATTCCAAAAAGACCGACTAATGAACAAAGAAGATTCCTTTCGATAAATGCGTCATCAAGTTTTACATTTACATGACCATAATAATTAAAGAATTGACGTTCTGAACAGCATTGATGGTGTTTTAAATAACATTGAATCAGTATTATCGACAGATTACATTTCACAACATTACATCAGTTAAAGATACTATGTATTATTATAAGACTAAAGACAGAATTAGTGAACTTATAGGCTCGACAGCAGGTCAGGGTGGGAATAGTGGCTGGACCTGTTTCTTTCGAGCACACAGCTCCGGTTGTCTAAGGCGAATTACAATGGCCTCTGCTGTTTGGAGTGTTTGGTTTCTAGAGGCCTTTGGTAATTTGTTCAACATCCGATGGGTGATAGAGAAAGACTCGTCAATGTTAGCTTACTTTGTGGCCTATTTGCACAAGGTGGCCCGATATAGAGCTGCTGACCGTTTTGACAACACCTTTATTTAACCACACTGGTAGGTGTTCGCGAACACGAAGAATTCGGTTTCGTAGAGCTCCATAGGAGCAGTTGAGTTGATAGATACAATTAGAGGTGTTTAGCTAGCCTAGGTACTTCATCTTTCAATTTCGGAATCACAATTGGTTGTGTGGAAAATATAAGCCATGGCCTTCTTGCATTTGACGTCCTTTGGATCGGTTTTCTCAAATTGTTCGTTATTATTTCGCATGATACAACACTTGAATTGTTGTCGTATATATATATATATATATATGTATATAGATTACTTGTTTACAGATACAGAAGAATCCTTCCCTACTTTCTCGATCATGTGTTTAATAATAAATTTTTCAGGGTAGCTGTTTTCCACTGACAGGTCATGTAAAACTTTAAGTTCGTCTTCGATCACATCTTCTGAACAAAAAGCTGTAATCCTATGACTGAGGATCAGACGATTGATTTTTTCAGTGAATTTGTTATCAATTCACACAGTCGTTTATATATATATATATATATATATAAAATGTATTATATATACTATAGATATACATATATATATATATATGTATTACAACATTGTATTCTTTGGGGAAATTTACACAAAAGGCCTAAATACTTACAAAGATCAATATGTGAATTGTCATAAAATTTTTATGATTCAAAAAATTTATGAAAAGCAAGCGAATAAAGGGATCATACAACATTCAAAGTAGTTCCTAGTGTGTGTAAATATTTAGAAGGGGTGTAAAATTAACTGGCAAATAACGACAATACATAACAAGGTGAGAAATTTTGATATGATAGATTTAGACATTAATGTAAGTGTAAAACTCGGGCACGGTGGTAGAATGTAACTCCATATTAGATAATAATCACACAGTGATGCAATATCCACAAGTGGATGACGTTTCGAGCACAAATTATTGCTGCTCATAATCATATCAGTTTAGTCACACAGCTTCACAATTTGTCTTATATACTTTTTCCGTATATTCTATCTCTCCAACTTCCCTTTGTTGTTTGTTTCCACTTTTCATATCTTCGGTATAGGCCTTGAATTATTCCGACTACACGTTGAATCGATAAACAAAGCTTCAGTGATTAACTTCTCTGTCTCTCCATCTAACTATATTACTTTGTAATATTCTCACCTTGTCTCATCCTAGTATGTGATTGTATGCAAGTGAATGCAATCCAATGGTTGAGCTTTCTTCTAAGTTTTTTAACTCAGCAGGGTCAGTCATTCTTGGTCTAGCTAAATATTTATGTTCCGATAATCTAGTTAACTCCGGTCTACTAGTTTGACCCATGACCTTACAGTTACTTTGTGCTATTTTGTAAAATATATTATTTTTCTTAATTGAATCTGTTGGGTCCTTAAGCTGACAGAGTTTATCTCTGAGACAGTTGGTTGGTTTAAATGCCACCTTAATTCCAGCCTCAATGAGAATCCTGCGTAAGGTCTCTGGCGTTCCTTCTTTGTGCGGCAGTACCACAGAGGCTTTGAAAATATTCCCGGGCATTAGGCATGTGATATTTATCATTATAAAAGTTCCTGTATTTCCCAGTGAATGAAAAACAAAACGATATTGTTTTTACTGACACTATTTAATAGCTTTATCAAAGTATTACTAAACCACAATTTACGAAATCTCAGCTTACATATAACAACTTAATCTTCTTTCATCAGCATGGGGTAATTTTTAGGTTTTCAAGTATTGGTTTCGCAGGGATTATTGTTTCATTGGTTGGAGGAATTCACCATGAGCTGACATCAGTTAGAGAACCATTGGACAGCTGTTTCCCCCATCGTAGTTTGGGACTCTTCATCAGTACGCACCCGCCATCAGGGTTCGGACCCAAGAACTTCTGTTTACAAGGCAAGCTTGTAGAACATTAAGCCACTGGTCGCGCTATGTCCTGGATTAGCAGAAGTTAGGATTCATGGACCATCGGAATGACGTAACGCCTATACCGAAGATATGAAAAGTGGAAACAAACAACAAAGGGAAGTTGGAGAGACAGAATATACGGTAAAAGTATATAAGACAAATTTTGATGCTGTGTGACTAAATTGAAATGATTATGAGCAGCAATAATTTGTGCTCGAAACGTCATCCACTTGTTGATACTGCATCACTGTGTGATTATTAAAATAAACTTATTTAGTATGGAAGAGCTAGACATTGCAGAAAATATATTGGATGTAAAGAATAAGTGGAAAAAGTGGAATAATGTCGCGAACTGCTCAGAGTTAAAATATTTAATAATGAAAATTTTATTAATAAAACGAAAGTAAACGGATGGATTAAACAAGACGAAAAACAAATCAGCTCGTGTTTTATCCTTCTTTTCTACTCCAAAGCCAGAGTAGAGATGAAGACTGTACACAGGTTTCTGACTGAGATTCATGAACATCCAAGACCTCTGTCTTTTAAAGTTTGAAAGAAAGAAGACGAGGCAAGTAAGCATGAGTTTGATAAATGTAATTCCACTCACTATCATGATTGACTGAGCATTTTACAACCCAGAATGAGATTTCTCATCTAACAGAAAAGCATTCTCTCCGTTAGGACTGGTTTTACCTTGCTCCACAAGATCAGGTAAACGGATAGATGTACACGGAGGGACTTGGACTAGGGATATTATCATGTAAACAACTTGATTTTTCAGATTTTAGGTTTTAGGGGGATTTCGGTTATCTTCACTGCAGATTCCATCACTAGCGACATCAGATAGGAAATTGCTGAAAAGTATTGGAGCACTGGACAGTTGTTCTGGCCTGAATTAGAACCGTTCAACAGTGTACATCCAGGATGTCATCAAGGATTGCATCCAACACTTTGATGTGTGGATATTCCCAAGTATGATTATTGTACACAATCCAGAGAATCAGATCGGTTGTATCTTTTTGAGCCTTAAATCTCGAGATTCAAAACACTTATGGTGAAAAGAGGGGAATTTATGTACACAGAACAAAGGAAAGATATTCTAACATTTACTTCTTAGCTTTATGTATGGGACATCAGGCTTATTCGACATGTTTTATTTCAAATAGCCACTTAATCTTCCCCCACTTATTTTATTAGTCAGTTACTCAGCAAAGTAGAACAAAGTTTTATTTGGTTGATAAGGGCTAGCAGCGGAATCTTAG